TTTTGCGGGATTGGAAAGGTCAACTTATTGATGGTGTTGTCTCCACAGTACACATCTCTTTAGTCGCTCAAGGCGAAGCCCGCGCTATTCGGCTAGCGTGTATGTTTCTCCAGGCTCTTGGACTTTCAAATGTCCAAGTGGAAAGTGATTGCAAATCAGTCATTGAACTCTGTGTCTCTGAACTGGTTCCTCCTTGGGAGTGCCTTGCATTTTTATATGATATTCGGTCCATAGGCCAAGCTTCCTCTTTGTCCTTCTCCTGGGTGCCGAGAGCAGCTAATACTGTGGTCCATTGGCTTGCCTCCTCAAAGTTGCAGGATGCTCTCCCTTTAGATTGGATTAGGAATCCTCCTCTGTCTTTAAGGAACTTGTTTTTGGCGGATTCTCTTGTTGTTTGAGAGTTTCTCGAGTTCAAAAAGCTGCGTTGGTACTCCTCCTCATGCTTAAGCTGTTTTCTGTTTTATGGATGTATCTGTGGCTTGTCTGGTTTTAATATATCATGAGTTCAAAAAAAAAAAAAAAATCTTACATTTCCAACTTAATACTTCCTCACAAGCAATTCCCTCTTTCAATCTCAACATCCTAATAATCATATACAACATAATCTGATAAAGACATAGGGCCTTAAAATCTAGCCTCTCCCTATTTAATCCAACTATACTAATAATCATATCCAATCTAATCCGATAAACACACGTGAGAGATTTGGTAACCAAAGTCAATCGTAGAACTCCATCTAGTTTTTTGTTTGTTTGTTTCTTTCTTCCGTGGCCATTTATTTAATTATATATAATTATGTCATAATCTTAATGTTTAATCAAACTCCATTAAATTTAAGTTATTAGGTGCACCATTGTCAAATAAATTATATATAGTTAATTTATTTTACTCTTTAGATGTTTTTAGATTCACGAATAAATTACTGTAATAGTACAGAAGTATACAATTCCTATTCAATGGACTAGTTCCATAAGACCAAGAAGGAGTTTATAATAATTAATAAAGAATAATATAACCCACTTAAGCATAACCCTCAAATAAATACTACATCTTAGAGATCATTTCTTCCTGAAGTACTAATCTAATTAATGGGTAAGCACGAGTTGTGTGGAACCCGTTATAGCTTACAAAAATTGACTTAGATCAACTGCTTTTGAAGTATTTAGAGCATTTTGATCACAAAAATGATAAAATGGTAAATACGTATTCAAACTAAAATTATCCATTGACTTTGCAGTGACTAACGATGAAATTTGGGGAAATTTCTCGATTTACGCACCATTTGGACAAGTTTACTATTTTCTTTTTCTTTTTTTTAAATTATTATACTTCTGTTCAAAAAATTTCAATGGATTTTACAAATGTTTCGAGTTTTTAGTACATAGTTTTTGTCTCGTTTAAATTTTCAAAAATTATTTTTAAATAAATATTTTTATTTGTCTTTACTATTTTTTTTTTAATTTTTTTTTCCATATTGTAGTTAAATTTTTTTGCTATGCATCTAAAAAATTAAAAGAAAACTAACTAAATATGAAAAAAAATCACTACAAAACAAACAAAAACCTGAACAATAATGCACACATATTTTTAGTCGAATTTTTTCAATATTATATTCAATTTATTTTACATTTTAGTTATTTTAAATTCACAAATAAATTACTTTTATCATATCGAGGTTTACCGTTCCTATTCACTAAGTCATATGGCCAAGGAGTTTATAGTAATTATTTTATGGAATATTTTGACTTTTCATAAAAAAAATGTATAAAAAAATAAATAAATTAGAGAAATAATGTAATTTAAATAAGTCAATAAATCAATAAACTAATTTTTTTTTTCCTAATTGTCAAAATTAGCTTTTGATCAACGACTTCTGAAGTATTTGGAGCACTTTAATAAATAAAAAAAAATGACAAAAATGGTAAATACTTGTTCAAACCAAAATTATCCATTGACTTTGCGGTAACCATGAAATTTGGCAAAATTTCACCATTTAGAAGGCCATTTGAACAAGTTTACTAAATTTTTTTTATAAAAAAGTTAGGGTAATTATGTAAATGGTCTCTATAATTTACACAATGTGTTAATTTAGTCTATGTTGTTTCAATTTATTCGATTTTGTCCCTTAATTTAATAGATTGTGTCATTTTAGTCTAATAAATAATGGTTGTTAAGTTTGGTGGATGGAAAGTCTACATTATGTGTTAATTTGGTCCCTGTAGTTTACACAATGTGTCAATTTGGCCACTGGTGTTTTAATCTGCTCGATTTTAACAGGGGCCAAATTGACAGTTGTGTAAACTACAAGAATCAAATTGACACATAGTTTGACTTTCTGTCCACCAAACTTAACAATCATTATTTATTAGCCTAAAATGACATAATCCGTTAAATTAAGGAACAAAATTGACCAAATTGAAACAATATAAACCAAATTGACACATTGTGTAAACTACATAGACTGTTTGTATAATTTACTCAAAAAATTATTATAGTTGTGTTCAAAATTTTCCAATTTCAATTCATTTTGCAAATGTTTGAAGTTTCTAGTACATAGACTTTGTTTGGTTTAAATTTTCAGAAATTATTTTTAAACGAGCTTTTATTTGTCTTTACTGATTTTTTTTTTTATATATATTTTTTTGCATATTTTAGTCAAAAGTTTTTGCTTTATAAATATATTAAAATTAGATGCATCTAAAAAACAAAAAAATTAACTAAATATGAAAAAAATTACTAAAAATAAACAAAAATCAGAACAAAAAAGCACAAATTTTTAGTCGAATTTTTATTTATTTTTTGGGAAGTTTTTTAATATGATAATCAATTTATTTTACTCTTTAAATGTATTTAGATTTACAAATAAATTACTGTGGTCATATAAATTCCTATTCAATGGACTAGGTCCATAAGACCAAGAAGGAGTTTATTATAATTAATAAAGAATAATGTAAGGCACTTAAGTATAACGCTCAAATAAATACTACATTTTAGAGATCATTTCTTCACAAAGTAGTAATCTAATTAATGCATAAGCATGAGTTGTGTGGAACCCGTCGTAACTTACAAAAATAGAGAAGTGGTGTAACCTAAATAAGCCAACAAGTTAATAAACTTATTTTTTTTATAATTGCCAAAATATGCCTTAGACCAAGTGGTTCTGAAGTATTTAGAGCACTTTGATCACAAAAATGACAAAATGATAAATACATGCTCAAACCAAAATTATACATTGACTATGCAGTGAGTAACAGATTAAATTTGGGAAAATTTCTCAATTTAGGCGCCATTTGGACAGGTTTACTATTTTTTTATTTTATTTTTTTTTTAAAAATTATACTTCTGTTCAAAATTTTCCAATTTCAATGTTTCAAGTTTCTAGTACATGGGTTTCATTTGGTTTAAATTTTCAGAAATTATTTTTAAACGAGCTTTTATTTGTCTTTACTGATTTTTTTTTTTATATATATTTTTTTGCATATTTTAGTCAAAAGTTTTTGCTTTATAAATATATTAAAATTAGATGCATCTAAAAAACAAAAAAATTAACTAAATATGAAAAAAATTACTAAAAATAAACAAAAATCAGAACAAAAAAGCACAAATTTTTAGTCGAATTTTTATTTATTTTTTGGGAAGTTTTTTAATATGATAATCAATTTATTTTACTCTTTAAATGTATTTAGATTTACAAATAAATTACTGTGGTCATATAAATTCCTATTCAATGGACTAGGTCCATAAGACCAAGAAGGAGTTTATTATAATTAATAAAGAATAATGTATGGCACTTAAGTATAACGCTCAAATAAATACTACATTTTAGAGATCATTTCTTCACAAAGTAGTAATCTAATTAATGCATAAGCATGAGTTGTGTGGAACCCGTCGTAACTTACAAAAATAGAGAAGTGGTGTAACCTAAATAAGCCAACAAGTTAATAAACTTATTTTTTTTATAATTGCCAAAATATGCCTTAGACCAAGTGGTTCTGAAGTATTTAGAGCACTTTGATCACAAAAATGACAAAATGATAAATACATGCTCAAACCAAAATTATACATTGACTATGCAGTGAGTAACAGATTAAATTTGGGAAAATTTCTCAATTTAGGCGCCATTTGGACAGGTTTACTATTTTTTTATTTTATTTTTTTTTTAAAAATTATACTTCTGTTCAAAATTTTCCAATTTCAATGTTTCAAGTTTCTAGTACATGGGTTTCATTTGGTTTAAATTTTCAGAAATTATTTTTAAATGAGTTTTTATTTGTCTTCACTGAATTTGTTTTCTTCATATTTTAGTCAAAAATTTTTGCTTTATAAATATATCAAGATTAGATGCATCTAAAAAACTATAAAAAAAAATAAAAATAAAAAGAAACTAAATAAGAAAAACTCACTAAGAAATAAATGAAAATCTGAACAAAAAAGAATAGATTTTTATTCGAATTTCCATTTATTTTTTGGAAATATTTGTAATATTATAATTAATTTATTTTACTCTTTAAATATATTTAGATTCACAAATAAATTACTTTATCATATAGAGGTTTACAGTTCCTATTCAATGGACTAGGTCCATAAGACCAAGAAGGAGTTGACAATTATTAATAAAGAATAATACAACCCACTTAAATATAACCCTCAAATAAATACTACATCTTAGAGATCATTTCTTCATAAAGTACTAATCTAATTAGTCGGCAAGCATGAGTTGTGTGGAACCAGTCATGTTTGGAGCATTACGATCACAAAAATTGACAACATGGTAAATACATGTTGAAACCAAAATTATACATTGACTTTGCAGTGACTTACGATGAAAGTTGGGAAAATTATACATCAAACATCAACATATACATTATACATCACTAAACAAACAGCCAATTCTGAAGGATAATGGGTGGCCATTGATGGTCAATGTGTAGGCATTCCAGACCTTCAAAGCAAAAAAGCAATCTGAAAAAGAAAAAAAAAATTTGGGTAATTTTCGAACATCAAACATCATCAAAACAGATCAACATTAACAAAGCATCATCAACACAGTGATGTTCTTCTCTCAAATCAGATCGAATATCGGATCTGTGATGTTCTTCAACACATTGATATTCTTGAATGTCGGATCTGTGATGTTCTTCAACACAGTGATGTTCTTGAATGTTCTTGAATATCGGATGTGTGATATTCGATCGAAATCATCAACACAGTGATGTTCTTCCCTCAAATCCCTCAAATCGAAGAAGAACATCAAACCGACTGAATGTGGTGTCGATGACGTTGAAACCACCGCCGAGTCCCATGGAGATTGCGCCGGTGGCGACCTCGGTGAAGCCGGCGGTGAGGATGATGGAGAAGGAAGCGTTGGCATCGGAGAGACCGGAGGCGAGAGCGAAGGGGATGGTGAGGCCGTCAGAGACGCCGATGATGATGTCATGGACGATCTCGCCCGCCGTGAAGTGCTTCTCGGCGTGTTGCGTCAGAAGCAACTTCTCTGATTTTGCGGTCCGATGATTTTCCGCCATTGAATCGATTGCACCAATTGAAGATGAACAAACACAAATTTCGAAAGCCTTTTTTATTTTATTTTATTATTATTATTATTTTAAACTTTTTTATGTGAGAGTCTGGAAGAGTTTTTGGTTTTTGGAATGAGGAAGATAAGGGAGGAGTCTGAAGCAAGGGAAATCTTGCCGATGATGTGAGAAGTGGGAGATCAGACACCGTGGAAGTTAGGGTTCTTCTTTGGTAGTCCCGGATGTTGTTTGATGATGATGTTGTGATGCTGTTTTGATGATGATGTTTGATGTTGTTTACCAAAATTAAATGGAACTAAATGGTGCATAAGAAAACTTTTAGGACTAAATGGTTCAACTTTTTAGAAAATAGGATTTATGGGTAAATTTTCCAAAAATATATTCACTAAACAAAAATGACAATTCATTTAAAAATAATTTTTAAAAAATCAAACCAATTGTTTAGAAAAAATTTGACTTTCTTTGTTTGTATCGAGCTAGATACTAATTGAACTTCTCTTTTATTATTGAGTTAGGGTTTGTTAAATTCACAGTGAAATTGACCCATTCTCAACATCTTTGTTTTTTCAATTTTTACTGTTTTAGTACTACACTTACACTTCGTTGGAGTACATTAAAGTAATCCCCGTACTTTCAAAGGTAACATTTGTAATTGTGTTATTCAATTATTTAATTACATATTTTTTGTCCAGTTTCTCTCCCCCATTCTGTTTCGAAGTTCAAATTAAATGATATTGGTTCTTACTAAAAATGTACTCAATAAAGTACTCTTCATTGAGAGTAAAACAACTTATTTACAATCGTTTGATAAGTAATTGGGCTTATAAAATACCGTAAGGACTTTAGTTTTTTGTTGGCACGCAACAAATTAAGCGAAGAAAGCAAATAGAAATGCAGGTAAAATATAAATATATTTTATTCATATATCAATTATCTTTTCTCTCTCTCTTTTCAAATCTCTCGCTAAATTTATAAATCAAATATAACCTCAAAATACCAATGCAATGGCATAGCATGCGCATTCCACGAATCCAATAATCTTACTTAGGGTTGGTTTGGTAAATACAGATTTTTTTTCCTTAGATAAAAGTTGTTGCTAAAAAACAAAATGCTTCTTCTTCTTCTTCTTCATTTTTTATTTTTTTATTTTTTATTTTTTAATTTTTTTTTGTCATTGGGAAGTTTGATATGGGGTTTGAAATTTATTTTGTCGTTAGTGAAATTTTTGATTCTGTTTCGAAGTTCAAATTAAATGATATTGGTTCTTACTAAAAATGTACTCAATAAAATACTCTTCATTGAGAGTAAAACAACTTATTTACAATCGTCTGATAAGTAATTGGGCTTATAAAATTCCGTAAGGACTTAGTTTTTTGTTGGCATGCAACAAATTACATTTTACACCTCAAAGTGCGAAGAAAGCAAATAGAAATGCAAGTAAAATATAAATATATTTCATTCATATATCATTTATCTTTTCTCTCTCTCTTTTCAAATCTCTTGCTAAATTTATAAATAAAATATAACCTCAAAATACCAATGCAATGGCATAGCATCCGCATTCCACGAATCCAATAATCTTACTTAGGGTTGGTTTGGTAAATACAGATTTTTTTTCCTTAGATAAAAGTTGTTGCTAAAAAACAAAATGCTTCTTCTTCTTCTTCTTCATTTTTTATTTTTTTATTTTTTATTTTTTAATTTTTTTTTGTCATTGGGAAGTTTGATATGGGGTTTGAAATTTATTTTGTCGTTAGTGAAATTTTTGTATTTTTTTTGTTATTTTAAGGTTAATTTCCTTTTCAAGTGAAAGTGAAAAACAAAATTAATATTCATTATAGAAAAAAGTTTGGAAAATAAATCTTTTTATGTCAAACGAGATGGGTTCGGTAAAAAAAGTGATTTTTTATTTAAATTTTTTTGGTGGAACCCAAACAACTACTAATTTCAATTGTATTCTCTATTTTTTTACTAATTAAAATATATAAAAAGTATTTTTTTATTTTGCCTAATTCCTTTTCCATTTATGTGTTTCAACGCTGCTCTTTATTCAGTGCTGTGTTTGGGTATAAGCCGCACAAGCGGCCGCTTTGGACGCTTGAAAATTGGTTGAGAAAAAGACCCCCAAAAAATTTGAAAAAATATCAAGTCTTATTTATTTATTTTATTATACTTGCTCAAAAGGGTTTCTAAGAAACAAAAATTTATTGATACGGTGAATTATTTAAAATTAATTGATGATTGTTTTCTAAATATATGAATTGTATACAGAATATTATTGATTATAGTTATTATTTACAATTGTTTAAAAGAAAAAGAAATGTTTCAAATTTAAAATTGACTGAATCATACATTCAGTGAGGTAATTGAATAAATTTGGTTGACAAGTTGGTTAAAATAAACTTGATTATTAAATTTACAGTTAAAAATGCAAAAGTTTGAAAATTTTAAATAAAATTTGAATTATCAACTAGTTTGATTCTGCCAAAACATATTCAAAAATTGGTTCATATTAAAATTCTACTTTGGGACATTTATATATATGTTTGTATAAGAAGCTTCATATTAGGAGCATGCTTTTGGGCTCTCAAAAAGACAGAGTCGGCTCTGCTTTTATTTTACCTATGTATAGACGCAAAGACTCATAAAATGTATCTCCTTACAATTTTTTTTTTTTTGTTAAAATAACTATTGTAATAATTAATTCGTTAGAGTGGTTAAAATAGGAAAAAGATTGGTAACTCGAGAAATTGGCTCGAAAAATGACTCGAAAGAGAAGAGAGGGGAAGAGGAGGAGGGAGGGAGAAAGAGAGAGGAGAGGTCGTTGCAGCTCCCCGCCGTCGTCACAACTCCCCTCTAGTCCTTCTTCTTCCTCCTCCATCGCAGCCCCCGCAGCTTGTCGCAGCCCTGCCTCCGGCCCCACCTCCTCCTCCAGCCTGATTTTTATGGCCCCCTCCCCTTCACTTCTCCTTCTTCCTCCTCCCGATCTGCAGACCCACCTTTCTTCTTCTTCTCCACCCTTCTTCTTCTTCTCCCTTCTTTTTCTTCTTCCTTTTGCAACAAAAATACAGGAAAAAAGAAAAAAGAAAAAAAAAAGACACCAAAACGACATCGTTTTGGTGTCGAGGCAAATTTAGGCCACCGAGTTTCGAGCTACGTAGCGGGATCGGTTAAAATATGATGATACTAATTGTAATAATTACATGCCTCGTTTACAGGGTCTTTGAGGTGCTATTATGTTTCGCTAAAATAATCACAAAAAAAAAAAATAAATAAATAAAATGATTTTTTATGCTTCACCAAACAGAGCCTAACTTGCGTGGCTAATGTTATCTAAATTGGCATGCTATCCTACGACCTGTGTTTAGACAATATCATCCAATCTCAGCTGCCATTGGGTGTACGTCAGCGTTTTATAGTAACGAACCAGTAAAATTTTAACTTGGTCAGTGAGAGGAATCACCATTGATCTGGCTTAGTATTATTTTTCAAATAACAAATTATAAAAATATTATAATTTCTAAATTATTTACCAAAAAGATCACACCTTTTAAATCGCAACTTAAAAGTCATGATTTCACTTAAAATTACATCTTCAAGTCAGATATATAGTGTGATCAAAGATGTTGGATTTGTTGAAGTTGTAAATCTCAATTTTATGGTGAACTTAAATTATTATAAGATTAATTTGGATTTATTTTAGTGATTTAAATTGTTCATTTCATACAATCAATTAGAAAAATTATTCATACAAAAAATTAAGTTAATTGAATATCAATTGTGATACCATCAAGTTATTTTTATCTATAAAAATATATATATATGTTTTTAAGTATAGATCGTTCATTTATAATATATGTCTTATATTATTGTATATGTGAGCACTTAAATTGGTTTCTTGAAGTTTTGTTTCTTTTTATGCCAATTGTTCAGCTATTAAAATAAAAAAATAAAATTAAAAAAAAGGCCAAGACTTGAACTCAAAACTACAAATTTGATGGGAAAAACTCTTATCACTTGAGATTATAACCAATATATGTTAGATATTTTATTTTATTTTTATTTATTTAACTTATACACGTATCGCTTGTGCCAACCTCTAGTTCCACTAAGAAAAAAGGCAAATTTCCAATGAACCAAACCATTGTCAAAAAACTCAACCAAACCAAATGTGTCACTTTGATCCTTGGAGAAACTCGTGAGGTGAAGAGAAGTCTAGAGAGTAAAAATGCAAAGTTGGAGAATACGGTGCAATATTACGCAACCGTTATAATTCCACGACTCACAGAAGTTGAAAATAGGGAGGTTCAAGTTCGAGAGGCTTATGAAAAGTTATTGAGAAGTTAAGCGCAACAAATTGATGAAGCCTACTCAGAACAACATGTAATCTAGAAATAGTGTCTCCTTCTGAAATAAAATTGTAAGCATTTCTCTTTTATTTTTTATTTTTTTGTAATAAAAAGGATTTTTGGTACATATAAGGAGAATAAAAAATTAGAGTAATTTCATAATATATCTTTAGAAAAACTCCCCCTGAGATTATGCATATGATCAAAAAATAATTTTAAGAAAACTCTCCCTGAGATTATGACGCTTCATTTTTCTATGGTGATTTTGTGCAGATATAGCAATCATAGAAAAATCACATGAAACATATGATGTATAAAATGTAATCATATCAAGTTAAGTAAGAACATAATAAATATTATTATATTTCATTCTCCTTTTTATCATTAATAAAAATGGATAAACTCAAAAGATGAAAAGATTTCAATAGGTGTCATGATTAATTAATAGTTTAGAATGCTATTTTCGGATTTTTTAAAATGTAGCACATAAAACAAATATTAGCTCACATGAAAAATATCAATATACTACATCATCAAAATCATCTTAATAATAATGTGGCTTAATCAAAATAATTAAAGTTGAAATTAGATCACAAATTTTCATACAATATAACAATGTTATTAGTCAAAACATTAAAA